TGATTATCCTAATTATATTTTAGATTTTTTATATTTAAAATAAGATGTTTATCCTGTATTTGATTGTGTTTATCTGCAGTTAGTTACACGGATTCAGTTATGGGATGAAATCRKATAGGGATGAACGGGTTTAAGAGTTTTAAGAGTTTAAGAGTTTTTAAGAGTTTTAGCCAAATGTATTATAATATAGTATAGATAATCAAAATTAAGGGGACTTTAGTAAATTAAAAGAAAATATAATATATTAAAATTTCGATTTGATTAGATATTTAAAAGTAAATGTACCGGATATTCAAATGTCCGTACACTCTTTAAGGGGACTTTAGTAATTTAAAATGTAAAACCCCACCTACAGTCAGAGTTCGCCGGAGTCCGGCGAGAGAGAAAAAGACACAGATTCATTCCATTTCTCCGGTCTCCATCTTTTCCGATTCTTGATCAAATATACTGATCTTGATATCCAAATTCAGTCAGAACAACATTAATCGATCTCGATTCACCTAATCAGAACTAAATCACACCGATAATTACAGTGATTATCAATGTGTTGTGCGTGATCGGAGAAATAGAAGAAGAAAGAGATGGAGACACACATTGATGATGAAATGGAGATGAAGATTCTAGAGATCACCTTGATCTCGGCGCAAGGTTTGAAGATTCCGCCGTCTGCTATGATGCGCCGTATGTACACCTACGCACTCGCATGGGTAGATCCAAACGCCAAGCTCCGCAGCCATCTCGATCGCATCGGTGGTGAAAACCCTACCTGGAACGAAAAGTTCATTTTCCGTGTCTCTCGTGATTTCATCAACGGCGACACCTCCGCCGTCCAATTCCAGATTTACGCCGCCGGTTACATAAGCGACTATTTTATCGGCACGGTACGTTACCTCTTAAGCAGTAGTCCTATCTCGTCAAGATACGGCTCCATTATCGGAATTCCAAGTTTCTCCGCCCTCCACATCCGTCGTCCGTCCGGTAGAATCCACGGCGTCCTTAATATCGCCGCAACGGTCTACGATAGTTCACATTTCGCGTCATTGACCGGAATTTCCGCCGTCTGTTTTCGTGATCTGATCGGAAAAACTAACAAAAACGATGATCTGTTCTGTGAACGGCGACTCTCACGGTGTCTCAGCCATGTCGGATCTAAAAAGAGCGAGCAATCATCTGAAGCAGAATCTTTTGATTTATCGTTTGAAGAATCGGTTGATTTCTCCGACGGAACAGATTCCACAACGTCGTCATCGTCCGTAACGGCGTTTAAGGACAGCAATGGCATCCGATCAAATCTTCAGGTGGCGGGAAAAAAAGATTGGAAATCGGACGGTGGTGGTTTGTTGTGTGGTTTGACTTTGCAAAGAAGATCCAGTCCGTCGGATCAGAATCTTCCTTGTAGGAAAGATTAGACGATAAATGGACGGTCGAGATCATTACATATTTCGTTGGTAGTTGATATAAGCTCAATTACTATTTTGACCTCAGGAGGGATATATTCATAGTGCAAATTGATTTTTTTTGTTTCCATTTTTTAAAATCAATCAATATTCTTATTTTGTTTGATTGAATCACGCGATTATTTATTAAAAAAATGCTAAAAACTACATTTAATATTTTGTTTGCCAATTGCAAGTGAAATATATAATATATATTTTCTTATTCTAAAAATTAAGTGTCTATATTTAGTTGATGAAAGAATGTGTAAAATAAGCGTTAAGATGATAAGCGTAAGAAGTGTTCTGGATCCTTAATCTCAAACCTACTCTATAAATTGTGCTTATCACAAGAATTGATCCGATGGATTTCGGTGTACTGCATTAATGTTGATCTTTAATTAAAATTGATCCAATGGTGAAAATCTCTTCTTATCTTTCTCACCATAACTTTCAATCTCACTGTAACCTAACCTTATTTAGGGGTTGTTTGTTTACCTCTTAATAGTTCCATTAAGAGGCTGCATTTGAATCATTAAGAGGTGAATCTTATTTGGCAAAAAAAAAATTGTCTCTTAAAAGTTTCTAAAACCCTCTGAATGATTTTGTATCTTGAGTTCCCCTTAACCATTCAGCACTTTAATTCCATTGTAAACAATTACCGAACAATTATATTTCATTTTAACTATATAATGAGAGTTTCTTAATCATTCTATATCAAACCATTCAACAACTGCCAAACAACCTCTTAGTTTGTCTCTAAATAAATATCAACTTGTAAAAATAAATGTTTACTTTTCCATTCTGCTCTTAATTACAAGAGGGTGAAAATCCCTCCAAATAAATGTCATAAAATTAAATGTGAACGTAACATTCAACAACATTGTTGGTGAAATTGAAATAAATGGTAGAAGAAAGTGTCGGTATATATTCCTAGTCATTTCCATTTTAGAGTCGTTTTCTGAAAAGGAAAATATTAATTATAAACTGAGAACTAATTTTTGTAAACAGATATATAAATTAATTAGTCACGTCTATTTAAAATTACTTTTTTCGTTTTTGTCCATCTGGTTTGATAATAGTTTAATGATATAGATAGTGTTTTATTCAATAAATTAATAAAAGAAAACTTTATATAGAAAACAAAGTTGTTTTTTTTTCAAACTTGTCTCTTCCAATTAAAAAACACACTCATTTTATTTATGAAAAAATTCTTTCAAACAAAAAAGTTTATAATCTATACACAGATTAATCTCCACATAGAGCTTTATTCGTACAAGACTTATTGGATGTTTAGGAGATGCTGAATGATTTGGTACAATATAATTAAATGATTAAGAGACTTTGTATGATTTAATGCAGCATAAAAGTTTAATATTTGACAAATATTTTGAATAAAAACTCTGAATGACAAAAAAATTAAATATTTACCCCTGTGTATGATATGATATCAAATTAAATATGAAAAACCAACCAAATACCCTAAATTGTTTATTAGCAGCTTAATGATTTTAACGAGACTTACAACTTATTTAGTTAGCTATACATGATCGCGATAGTGGTTTAATGAAATAGAAAGTGAATTATACAATAAATTTCTATAATAAAACTTTATATAAAAAACAAAAAAAAAAAAATTCATCCATGAAAAAACTATTACAAACTTATCCATATTATAAAAAACCACTAAACAATTCCATAATATCATCCATTAAAATAAATTTATAATTGCATCTTAAATTTAAATTTAAATTTTTATGTATTTAGTGTCAGTTGTTGTTTGGCAGCAGGGCTGTCCTTGGGGGAGGACAGTATGGGCGCACGACCAGGGCCTAAAAATACCAAGTGCCCAAATTTTTTCTTTAAAATACAATAGTAGTCTCCAAGAATTTAATAAATTATAGAAAACCAAAAAATTGTAGCATATAATAACAGGCAAAAAGAATTTAGTAGATAATAAGGGCCCAAAAACATATCAACTAATTACATTAGAGAATAAAATTAAAAAAATTAATTAATCATTTATTATATGCTATTGTTTATTGTCACTCTATTTTTTTTATCTTCAACAAGGTCCAATGATATTGGTTACTGTTATCTCTATATGTTTGACTGTTTTCGTGTAATTCAACGTTAATATCATGTGCTTAATATTGCTATATATTTTTGTTGTAAATTTTATTAATTTTTGCTTCTATTGACTATTGGTATTTGGTTTTGTTGTTCTAATTGTGTTTTGTTGACCGTTGTTATCTATTTTTGTTCTACATAAAATATTTTACTATTGTTTGACAATCAATTTATTGTTCTTATAATTTATGATGTGTTTCATGGTTTTGTGATTAAACAATAATTTTTTTACTACTAAATGTATTTAGTAATGTCTTTTATATATGTCATGTTTCATAAACTTTTAATTTTAACATCTTATTTTACTTGAGCAAAAAAAAAAACAAAAATATAATTTAAATATTTTCATCAATTGTTTGACTTATGTATATTTCATTGAGATTCCGCCACACCACAATTAAGATTTTATTCAAGTGCTCAAACAATTATTTGTTGAACTTGTATATTGTATGTTTAATTCATTATTTGTTCTTATTGGATCTCAATGGATCATATTTTATTTCATATTTTTATTGATCATCATTTGTCTACTTGTCCAGAAAATCTTGAATCTTCTTTATCATTGATCTCTCATTGATCCTTACGATTACTTCATTTACACGAATTCTTTTTTTGTATCAAAATAACACATATTTTATTGTTATGAACTAAGAAAATTATTACTTTTTATAAAAATTTATTAATCGTAGTTTCTATATTATTAGTTTCAAGTTACCTAACAAGAAGTACATAAATTTGAGTACTCTTATATATATATATATATATATATATATATATATATATATAATAAAGATAAATAAGAATTTTTTTCCTAGTAAATTATTAGCATTTCTTGTACTCAATTTTATACTAATGAAGAACATTTATTGAATTTTTTTCGTACTTATCGAGGGTCAATATAAAAAAAGTGAGTTTTGACGATGCACTTTTTAATGATGACATGTTTCCACCACAAGTTATGGCAACGACATGTTGTTATATATTCTTTATGATGATAAATGGACTTTTAGCGACGACAAAAGTCATTGCTAAAACCTTGTTTCTTGCAGTGAGCCATGTTTTTACGAGCCTATAAAATGTCAGGAATGGGCTTGTTTGGCAGTTACTGAATGATTTTGTGCAGAATAATTAAATGGTTAGAATAATTAAAAGGCTATCATGATCTAGTAAAAAATAAATATAATTATTTAGTAATTGTTTATAATAAAATTAAGACGTAGATTCTTGAATGGTTAAAAGGTCCATGATACAAAACCATTTATAAAGTTTTAAAACTATTAAAAAAATAAATATTATTTGTTAAATAAGATTCACATCTTAACGATTATTAGACTGCTTTTATTGAACATGTAAACAAACAACCCTAGGCAATGAAGCCCCCCTTGTTTTAAAAACATCTTGAAATCAAATTTGAAAGGAAACCTTGAAAGAGGTAAAAGGGAGAGAACAAAAAAATAGTAGAAGATGGGTAATGATGAAAAGCAAGAATTGTCGGGAATAAAGTTGAAAAACGGGATTTTAATCGGGAAAAAAGCCAACAAAACCACACCTTCGAAACTAGGGTTTCATAATTCCTCTTCTCTACTTCGCAATTTTCCGATGAACAACTCTGTTTCTGCTAGAAAGATCGGTGCAAATCTATGGGAAGTTCAACCGCAATTCAATTTCAGCAAAGATCACGCTGATCATGGCGGTGCTGCTGCTAATCTGAGCCACCACCGTCGCCGACGCCACCGTAGCCATGATATAGAGAGATTTGAGGATTCCGATAGACTGGACGAAAAACAACCTCCTGACTCCGATCCACAACCTGTAAGTTTTTTTGTTTACTGTTGTCAAATTTCCTTTTCTTTTTATGGACAATTGTTTCAACTATGGAGAAAGGATGTGGCGGTGCTCGGCGGAGCCACCACCGTCGAAGCCCTCACCGCCACCACAAACGGCAAGTCTTACTTTTTTCCAAATTTGATATTTTTGAGATGATTAAAATATATAAACTCGGTTTAAATAATATTATAAAAAATTAACAAGAAAATGTTTTACGTGAATAATTGAAAAAATTCAAAAAATTATATTAACGTGAGAGGAATCTGTTTTCGTAAAAAAAACTGAAACTTCGTAGCAAAAACACTGTGAAGGTACAAAAAATATTGAACGTTGACACGAATAACACTGTGAAGGCTTCATGTTGTTTTTGCTATGAATATTCGGGATGCTTTTGTGCGTTCACAGTTGGTCTTATGGGTCTCATGAGAACCCAACCCTACAAGTATATATGTATATTTATGACGGCTTAAGGCACATCTTGAAAAACATCGTGGTAACTCGTAAGGCTTGAGGACCTCCATGTCAAAGCCTCATGTCATTTAGAACCTTGATGAACACTAGATGATAAGCTACATAACAATGTAAAATGACTTAAAAAGACACGTTAGAAAATAAATTGGAAAAATATTAGGGGTATAATTGGAAAAAATGAGAAAAAAAACCCATCACCTCAAAAAGACATGTTAGAAAATAAATTGGAAAAATATTAGGGGTATAATTGGAAAAAGTGAGAAAAAAAACCCATCACCTCAAGTAGCGTTTCAAAAAACTAGTTTATAAGCTAAATTATGGCTTACTAAATGGAGCTTTTTCAATAAATTTAAAAATTAAGCTGCTGAACATGGTCTTATTGAATCTTTGTTTCCTTTTTCTTTCTGATTCAGCCAGAAATCGAGACTATTTCGAGAAGCAATATTAGAGAATTACCGAGCTTACGCCATTTATCAGTCGGTAAAAATGGCAACGATCTGCAGCATGTTTCGTCTGCGAGTTGTTGTAGCTCAATGCAGGTACTGCGTTTTGTCAATTTCACGTTTATCTCGAGTGCAAATTGAGAACTTTTTCGGTTTATTTATGCCTGTAGGTGACACCTTTCATTAAAGCCGCCACCCCGATTGGCTACACTGTTAAGACGTCGACACACTTGCTTAAAATTCTCAATCGAATTTGGAATCTCGAAGAACAGCATTCGTTGAACGTGGCTTTGATCAAAACGTTGAAACGAGAACTCGGCATTTCGCGAGCACAAATCACGACGCTAATCGAAGAACGGAAAAGGGATCGTCAAGAAATGGACGAATGGAAAAAGTCGATCAACGATCGGAAGAAAAAGGCGATCGAGTCAACACGAGACGAGCTTTTGGACATAAAATCTTCGTTAATGCGAGAGAGGAAAGCGCGGATTTTGTTAGAAAGTTTGTGCGACGAGTTTGCAAACGGGATAAGAGATTATGAACAAAAGGTGAGATTTTTGCAGCAAAACCGCGGGAAAAAAGATCAACTCGTGAGCGAGAACGAGCCCGATCGGCTTATCCTTCATGTTTCTGAAGCATGGCTTGATGAAAGGGTGCAAATGAAGTGTGATTTTTCAGAAAAGACGTCGATTTCTGATAACTTATGTTGCGAAATCGAAACATTTCTCGAGGCGAAAAAGAAACAATCTCGTGGCTCCGGGGTTGAACCCGACGAACTTCTTGAAAACACCGAGCCATCTTTGCAGTTGGTGCCACGAATGACGGACCGCAGTCTTGGAGTAGCTGAACCATCTTCACAATTGATGTCAAGAATGGAGCGGCTCCAAGACCATGGAGGGGCTGAACCGTCAATGCCAAGAAGGGCAGGCCGGGGTTCAGATGCCACTGAACCATCTTCGAAATCAATCACAAGGGGGAGAGACCGAGGTTCTGGAGTGGCTGAGCCACGGGCTCGTGAGGGTGCGAAATCGAACACATTGATGGCTAAGCTACTTGAAGCAAGGTTAGAAAGCCAGTTTTCTAAACCAAGAACACTAAGAAGGTAGTTTAGCTTAGTTTACTTCCCATGGTTGGATCATTAGGCTCGAATGGGTGCACTTAGCCGGGGTGCGATCCATCGGTCGAGCCCGTGAGTAAATTACGATTCTCGTCCTTGTAGTTTGTTAATAATTTCGATTTTCATCCCCGTGGTTTAGAAATTGTGATTTTCGTTCCTATAGTTTACAATTTATTGCTATTTTTGTCCCTGAACTAGTTCCCATCTTTGAGTACAAGGGACCAAAACTGTAAAGAATTGTAAAGCATAGGGACAGGAACAACAATAAGTTGTAAATTATAAGGACGAAAACCACAATCTTTAAACCATAGAGACGAAAATCGAAATTATTTACAAACCGCAGCGACGAAAAACATAATTTACTCTTTGTTTTTCCAAACAAAGTAACAAAGTCACATAATTATCGCTAACACCTCTGTAAAATAACGAGTCAGTATTAATTATAAAGTAAGAAAACGTACTGTTTAGAAGCTTGTTTCAGTCTGTAATAGATTTATGTAGTTTGCATACACGTTTCACGCCAGCATTTTTCTTATTGACAGTTGAACCATAATTTCGTTGCATTTGACATCTAGCGTGAGTATACATATAAACGACTTCATTTAAATCATGTTAAGGAACAAGTTGTTAGCGTCTAATTGAATCAATACCTGTTTTTTTTTAAGAGTAATCAAATTAGGTTTCACATGTTCTTACGGTTTTAAAAGATAGTTGACAACAAGCATTTAGACCAAAAAGCATAAGAAGCTATAAAACGATGGAATAGCGATAAGCTCATATGAAGCAAACGTTGATGTTTGTGTTCAACAACCGAATTCTGCTGAGGCTTTCCATGCACGACTTTTGATGCATCGCTCTGTGTTTGTTGCTAAGTGGAAGACAGAGTAGTAGAAAAAACGAAGCCAACCAACCTGAAATCTCAAACGTACTCAAATTGAAACAAGTAATGACAATATAACTGTAAAACCCAAAATTTCGAGGAATAGATAATGTATATATATTTTTTTTCTATTTTACTTATTTATGTATATATATATGTANTAAATACCCTTTTCACCTTTGTTCACATATGTTTTTTGAAATTGTAAATTTAAAAAATTAATTTTTTTTCATTATTAATCACAACCATTTATTGTAAGAATCAATGGTCAAGATTGGTTAACAAAGTTAATACAATAATCTTGGTTAACATTTAAACCAGCCCCTATATATATATATATATATATATAGAGAGAGAGAGAGAGAGAGAGAGATGAGCGATCAAATGCAAACCACCAATTTGTACAAATCGTGCAAACCACCCTCATCCGTCGACTTCATTATTTAATCTTATGAAATTTTTTATGAAATTGTTTAATATTGTGAAATTGTTTCATATAATGTTTTTTTTGATAAAGTTGTTTTATATATGGTTATGAAATTATTTCATATAATACTTAATGAAATTTTAATGAAACTGTTTCATATATTTCTCTAAAATTAAAATAGTGAAGATGATAATATACATGATTAACACCCTCCACAATAAAAATGATTAATCAACCTCTCATAATTACCAAAAAATGAACAAAATAAAAAATTATAATTGGTTGAATAAGGTTTGTACAATGCACATATTATTAAAAACTCAACAATTATATTAAATTCAAGAAATAAAAGAATATTGGGTTCATCGGGTTGGGTTGGGTTGGGTTGGGTTGAGTTTCAAATAATCCAATACATAAGGTTTGAAGATTTTACAACTCAATTAGATATTGAATTGCTTCAGCTTAAGTTATTTCGCATTGGATTGGGTTGGTTGGGTTTTTGAGCTCCCCTAGGACTAACCATTTACAAGGTCCAACAAATTAAACTTATGTGCTGTACATGACATAGTAAAATTTTATATACTTGGATCTCAGTAATTTCATGGTTTTCATGCAACAAAAATATACACAATTTCACCATATAAAAGCACATATTTTCTCAAACATTATGCATTCAAAAGAAAACGTAACTTTTAAGAGATTTCATATATTTTCTTCTTAAGTACCTTCCGTCTAAACATTCTCTAGGTGGGTACGGTTGTTAGAACTAGAAATCCATTTTGAGTCGTGCCTCCATGTCACATGCATTTCTTGCGTGCTACGACTCACCTAAAGTCAGTAGCCCATTAGCCCATTTTCAGGTTGTCTCTCCTTAAGTGTGACAGACCATGATGACATCCCATACTCTTAACAGACCATTTGTACAATTTAAAATCAACGAAAATTCAAGCATGCTAAATGTGTTTAAAATTCGGAAAACAATTAGCATGCATATTTTACATAATCTACATGCAAATGTAATCACGTAACAATAAACATGCATTTAAATTACAATATCATGCATAGCAAACATCAACACATACCATAATATGCTAGAATACATTTATATAAAGGTATGCCTCCTAATGATGTCTCATGAAAACTCACTTTGAACGTAGTGCCCAAGCAATAGTTCATTGCTTAATGGCCTACACAATGTAATCCATAATATTTCATCAATGGTCTATTATGCCAAAAAGCCAACAAGAGTCCACTATGGTAAGTCCTTAAATCTGTCCCAAATATAAACTTTTCATGGGTCAAATTGGTCAAAAGTCAACTCTTGATCAACTTGGTCAATCTTAGTCATTCTCTAATTATTATGCTTAATATCGAACCCTGATGTTTATTTTACATATAATTTGGTGAATTCGTTAGATTGACTAAAAGTGTCTTTAATAAACTGTAAATTCCTAAGGAGAAGTTAAGAAATACAACATTCAGTTTTTCAGAATGGGAAGCTATCTCTTGTAAGTATTGAGGGATTTTTCATAGAGCCATTGTCATACATATATGTTAAGCCATACGATCTTAATTAATAAGATTTAATCAAATTTCTCTGATACCAATGGTTGGTCACATAGTGTAACCAATATAACAAGTATTTATAGAAGGGGAGGGGGGTTTGAATACAATTTTTTCAGTAGTTCTTATTAATAAACATTTCTTAAAGAACGTATAACAATCTTGTGCGAAATAAAGACTCTAAATTAAACTGGTTGATGCACAAATCTGAATAGAATTATCCGCTTGACGAATTATATATAACCCGATTCTCTTAAAAGTATATGACCCTCACTCAACCCTAAATGTTGTAAAACCCAAAATTTCGAGGAATAGATAATGTATATTTTTTATTTCTATTTTACTTATTTATATATATATATATATGTAGGTATATATATATATATATATTGGTTAAATAAAATATTAGAAATTCAAGATAAGTCAAATTCTTTCCTTATTATTGACCAACGGCTTAAGACTCTACCAAGAGGGGGAGCCTGCTATCGGCAATTGGGAGAGGCATAAGAGGGCAGGCGGTGTTTGGCCCATAAAGGGAAACTGCGACCTGCATGATTTCAGGCTGTGGAGAAGACAGTCTCACAGCTTAAAAATCGGGATTTGGCCGATTTGGTCAACTAATAGGCCAAATTGCTCGAGTATAAATCAGGGGTACTGGTCTAGAGTAGTTATCCTTTTGAAAAAAGAAGAAATCGTCGAGTTTGAGAGAGGGAGGAACCGGAGTTCAGACCAAGCACGAAACCCCCTGCTTCCCGTCGTTTAGAGGTAATTACTCGACCCAAATTTTATGTTGATACAAGGTTTAGCTATACCTTCAGTTCTGTATAGATCTCTAGAGAACTCTCGTCCCAAACTGCGTGTTTTAAGGTCGGTTTCAAGGTTTAGGTTTCAAATGGTAAACACGYTGTATCACACTGTAAAAACCACTTAGAGAATGTTATACAGAAGCTTTGCATGAAAGCTCTGTATCATGTTAGAAGCTCTGCATGAGAGCTCTGTGTCCAGTTATGCTAGTCAGAGGCTCTGCATGAGTTTTGTTTCAAGTTGTGAGAGCCCTGTATTACGTTATGTTATACAGAAGCTCTGCTTGAGAACTCTGTACCAAGTTATGTGTGACAGAAGAGCTCTATATCAAGTTATGAGACCACAGAGGGGCTCTGGTCCTTAAGGATGATTTATTTCCTATGGTTGCAACCAGAGGATTCTTGTATCTGATTTGGAGGATGAGCAAGTTTTACGATATATGTTAAATTGGATCAAGGGTTTTGTGTCTTTTGATAAGAGCTTCTATGTCAAAATCATGCTTTTGAAGTTTTAAGAAAAAGGGGGTTTTATACTTAGTCTTTTTATGAAAAACAGACCAGAAGAGCTCTGGTTGAGTTTCACATTGAACCAGAGGAGCTCTGGTTGGTCACGTCTTTGGAACCAGAAGCTCTGGTTAGTAGAACTAGAGGCTCTGGTCGAGCATGAACTTTTTATAATTGCTCGTTTTATGAAAAAGGCTATCTTAATGATTGAGAGTTTATCTAAAGATAATTTATATGGGTGAAGCTTTGGTTAGTACAACCAGAGGCTCTGGTCGTAAAGACCAGAAGCTCTGGAAGAGAAACAGAGGGGCTCTGGTCCTGAATGGCAAATATTTTCTAAGTGTGGTTTAGAACCAGAGAATCGATGAACGGGTTACTAAATATTTTCTAAGTATGATATACAACCAGAGGGGCTCTGGCCCTGAAGGACATAAGAGCCCAGAGGCTCTGTCAATACAACCGGAGGCTCTGGTCGTCCACAGAGGCTCTGGCCTTCTACCAGAGACTTAGTCATTTTAAGATAAATAACTAGACAATACACCTTATGTTGGAACTCGCGTTTCTATAATTTTGATTGATGTGAGGGGCATTTAAGCATAGTTGACCAAGGTTGACCCTAGCCAACGTAGTTGATCGTAGGATGACTTTTATAGTCTTTTGAGGAATTTATCATTTATGTACTATTCGCTAATATAAATTGTAGGTTACCAGTCATCGCCGTTAAGTAAGCAATCGACGTTATCAGGTGAGTCTTCATGAGACTTACAATGGAATGCATACCTATGTATAAATTTATTTTCAAGCATTATACGATTTATATGATGATGGTACAAATGCATGATGTTTCAGTTTACATACATGATATGTTTTACATGTATGACGTTTTATGATCAGTTGCATGCTATGTGTTTAGTCACAATTTGAATAACTCTAGCATGCTTTTCCACACTAAAGTTTGATGATTTAAGGGTGGACATTTGACCAGTAAGTCACGACCAGTATAAAACACAACCCGGACAAGTGGGTGATAAGTTAAGATTGTGACACTCAGGGCGTGTTGGTGACTAATAAGTCACGACCAGTATAAAACACTACCCGGACAAGTGGGTGATCAATCGAGAATGAAGTATCAACCCAGGGTGTGTTTGT